TCTGCCGAGTTCCTTGACGGGGGAGATTTACGGGCGACGAGGCGAATCGAGGGAAACCGGGAAACCGGAGGAGCTGCACCGTAAATGATATATTAAAAAAAAAAAATTCCCACACTTCCGGGACATTGGGATAAGAAAAAGGGGGACAGTCATTGAACCGTGAAGAATAATTCTTCGAGGAGAATTTATTGTTTCTTATTTTAATTATTATTTTAACAAAGTGTTTCTTTGGTACTGTTCAAAGGAACCTTCTTTCCAAGGAGTCGTTCGGAAGGACTCGATTAACGTCAATTGCAGGATCCTCCTAGGGGTACTTAGAGTAGCTCCGTCGAAATTCTCTTCTCGGCTGTTAATATATATGCAAAGGAAGGCGTTAACCTTTCTTGGGAACAATAAGTCACTCGGAGGAAGGGCTGGAGCCTTGAGGAGCTGCACGCTCCCTCGAAGGACGCATTTATGCTGCAATTATTGGCATGCCCGCGGCCAGAACGAGTTAACTGGCAAGGCACTTTCCTGGGATTCGGATTCGTGTCAAGGATGCTTTGCACGGGAAAGCCGATCCGCAGAATTACTGCGGATCATCGAGAGAAGATGCTCCTCCGGGAGAGGCGCCATCTTGATCAGCGCGTCGGGATAAAAAGAGCCGATAAACCGAATAGCTTGACCCTGGACGAAAGGAAATGAATTTTCGTTTGTTTCGAGAGACTAGTTCGGTTAAATTGTCTCGTCAATTTTATGAATGACTTTTTCACCGGTCGATTGCAATTTTTTTTGCGAGACTCGAGGAGGGCAAGTCGATGATAATCTCCGTCTTTGCCGATCGCTAATCGTGATCGATGGGACGGGCAAAGAGGAAGGAAAAAGACGCGCTCGTCCGGGACTTCGCCTCTCGGACGATTAATTTATAACTTAATCAACCGATGCAAGCTGATTATTACATGTACTTATCGCGCGGTATCGAGTCGACGGCGATAAGCCTATGATGACCGGCCGCCATCTTGGAAGATCATTTGCGTATCAGCTGCAAGTTTTGCTCGGTGTCGTTGAACTAGATTTACTGCCTCTTATCGGCGGTGCCGCTTTGAATTGCAGTGCGCAATCATGTGGGATTTAAATGTGTCGACATGATCGCGCACGCGTACCCCCGTGAACTCACCATGAGTGCCCCCGTCTCCATGACGCGACGGTACCGTTAGGTCGCCTCCTTCCTTATCGACTGGGCGCGGCGGTGCCGGAACCCCGCGAGGAAACGAACCGCACCTCGCCCGAGGTGACGCTAAAGTGCCGGCGAAATTCCCACGCGCGTCCTTGTCTGACACACCGTCAGAGACAGTCTAAACCATGATTAAATACCCTCTTCCAAAATTCTCACCATACTCATTTTTTTTTTTACGAATTATTTCAACTTTCGCATCTTTTTTATTCCGATAGGAACTTTCATTTTTCAATTTAATCCCGTCTCCCAGGTGATACCGTAACGAAGTTGAACTGATTAAAGATGTGAATATAGAAGGTAGGAAAAAAAATTCATATGTTAAGCGAGTACGTGCATATTTAATTTCAGTGGCGAAATAAACGGAGCTTGTGCGTCACTTTTCGCGCACGGACACGTACGGTTTTTTAGCGACCGGGCTGGCTGCCCGGCGAGGTCCAGAACCGGCCAATGAGAAGTCACTGACCGCGACAGTCGCTGACTCCTCGTGGCCGAGTCACGAATCACGGGCCGCGCGGTGCGCACGCGCCGACCGCCGAAACCCGGAAGCGCCCGCGGCTGAGTGCGCGCGCAGCCGCGCAAGGTCGGTCCTGTGCGCAGCACCGAATATCTCCTTTCGCGAGGGTTCTTCACCTCGCCTTATTTCTTATTTATTTTCACTTATTAATTATTACATCAGTAAATAAAAATATAAGTCGCAGCATTACGTGATATGAACGCATATGAACTCGACGCGAAAGTCAATTGGCTTAAATGTGAAAGAGATATTTTCAGATAAATTGTCCAATTTAGGCAATTTTAATGTATAGGTCAATAATATATTTATATTTGTTTCTATCAACTTATCTTGTTTTTCTCGGGATGTACACCGTGAACACCTTGAACGGCTTTTGAAATATTCAATCTAAATGAAATCCGATCGCGGCCGTCGGTTGTATAACCGCAACTCGGCCCTGGGAGGATCGCATTGTTTAACCTTGTTTTAAACGGCGATTGTCGCTTCTCTCGGAGGGAATTTCGCCGATCTTGGCGCGGCGGCGTCCAGCTCCTGCCAAACGAATTAACCTCGGTAACATCCCGCCCGCAGTTGTCGCTCCCATCAATTCTATTTTCAATTTGCCGATCGTTTGCGCAACCGACGAGATGACATGCCGCGAAATACCCGGGTTAAACAATGGACGATAGATCCCCGTTACTTTCAATATAACTCTTAACCGCGTCGTTGATGATAAACGTCACACACTTGGACGTCACTTAAAAAATGAAATGCGATGAAAATGAAAGTATTCTAACCATGAAATAAAAAAAAATCATATTCACAAGCATAAAAAATTCTGTATTCGGATCAAGTATCGAGGTGCAACTTGAAGTGGCCACGTGGCATGGAACGAACGCTTTGCGATCCTTTTAATCGGCGCCCTGAGGTCGCTCTTTTTATTATTCTTTTCTTTTTTTTTTCCTCTCCATTCACCGCCGGTCAAAAGACACGGCTAAGCCTGAAAAGGTGTACCCGTTTCTTCCGGATGTGTGCGTGCACACGCACAATGTTATCTCGCGCTTGTATCCGGACACGGATAAGAGGGATCCGAGGTACCGTTACCCCTCTACACGCACTTTGACTTTATGCGCTTCTGCATATGTGGGCCATAGGTCGCAGTATGCCAATAGACACGCTCGTTTGTCCGTTTGGTTATAAGACCACTGCTAACGGGTGTAATGTACACCCTCGTCCTCCTGAAACTACTTTGGCTTACTCGAAACGGGGGGACGGGATTTCTTTTCTTCGAATAATAATACCCTCGACGTCTGTTTGGTATCGACATGACTTCCGCTGGGCCGTGTGACCGTAACACGTGACTTCCGGTGCAGCACGCATGCATCGAGTGCACCGCGCGATGCATGTTTTCTTGATTGTTCTCCCCTGTTGACACGGCCACGCCTTAATGCCTTAAGGTGACATTAAAGGATCATTCCGTCCATACAGAGTGTGAAAAATATTTCTAAAACATTTTCCTCGAAATAATAAATAATTCCAAATTTTAACCCGTTATCACGGAGGCCTTGATATCGAATATCTCGGGAAATTGTATTTCCTCGGAAAGGAAAATTTTTTTTTCGTTTCTTCACTCTTGTCCGGGATAATAGGGGCATTTTCCCGGATCGGAAGGAAAAATCGATGGGCTCATTTCCAACGTCGACTTGCAGCCATGCATCCCCGGCACTTCCGGGAGGCCGCGCTTTCCGATAATTACCGTCGATACTCTCGATCCAATCGATTCCAACCGATCCCGGCGCTGCTCCTTGGTCATGTACCGCTCGGAGATGGACTTTTTCCCTTTTCCCCCCGAGTTTAAGAGGAAAAAACGACCGGGAAAAGAAAATGGAGCGAGGGGAACGGCACCGTGCAGCGCGCCGAGTCCCTTTTCGGTGCATCGCCTCGTCGAACCGTGAACGGTCCCTGAATAAAGCCCCTTTTTTTTTCTTTTATTCCTTCGGAATTTCTGGGACCCCTCTCACGTAATCACCGCCGAATGAGGGAGTTTTTCTCATTAATTTTCATTTTCCCTCCGCCGATTCGGATTAGGAAAGCGACGCCCTCGCGGCATATCGAGGAGACATCAGTTTCTCTTCCGTTCTAAAATAATCGAATTATTCCTTTTCTCCATTTAAAATTTCTCATTGTAATATCTTCGGATTTTCATATATTTTTTTTTTCCATTTACTTTTAAATTTCCGTATTATAATTATCCAATTTTATCGTTATTTTTTTTTTTTCCCCTTATACTTTCCTCCGTGAGGGAGAAGAGGTTCGGTTAGGAAGGCGGGCGTTCGTGCAGGAAAATGCATAAACAAAGTAGCGAGGGATTTGTGCCCCGGGGAGTCAACGTTAACATCGTGGGAACATCGGAACGCACTGGCGAGACAATGGATGAAAGTCAAAGGTCCGTGTTACGCAACTGTTAGGGTTCGGCCGCGGAACGAAACTTCTAAATCGGTGAAACCGCGATTTGCCCTAAATGGCCGATCGTTTTTTTTTCTGTCACGTGTAAATATCGAAAATTCTCGGTACGTGAAAAATTGGAGAAAGTACCCGGGAAACGTGTCATAAGTTAACGAGATTACCTTTCGTCGTTTCTTCGTTTGAGTAGAATTTCTTTTCGATGCACCTCGAAAAGCTCAAGACTATTATAAGTACTATCGGGGAATATTGATTACGTGTAATCAGGATATCAGTAAGTGCCGCGTACGCCACTCTGGTGACATTAGAAAGGTGCACCGAAGAAACGGGGAGATGTCACAAGGCAAACCGCATAACTCGGTACACCATTACGTATGTGCAACCGCATGTTATGCATATCGCACGCCGGTTACGCCTCCACACGTTCACACGACATTACAGCCACGTGCGGTCGTAAGTACCACACGGTGCACTTTTACAGTGAATTACATGGAAGGACGTGCATTCGTCGCGTCTAATATCTTTTTTCCTCCCCCCTTGCCCTCTCTCACTCTTTTTCTCTCTCTGCGCTTAAAGTGACGGCGCGCGATTGTTTCTTGCACAATTACGTAAAAGCCCAGTAATTCAACTCGGCGTGGTACTATTACCGGAATACGCGATGGCATTGTTTCCGTTTAGAGGGTCGTGCAACGGGTGTCGGGGAAACATTTCAGGGATTTATTTGCATATTTTATTTGCGCTAATATTTATGAAATTTTTTTTTTTCAGGGAGTGAGAATTTTTTTTTTTATAGGCGAATTAATCGGTCCTTTTATTTTCTGCTTTTAGAAATTGCCGTCACTCGGGGGCTCCAAGCCAACACGTGGTGACAGATCTGACAATAATGCCAACAATTCGACCATCAACAATATTCGCGACATAATATTGGGCGATCCCGTCAACACCAGTCCACATGTCGATGGATATAGTAAGTGAATTAACATTTGGAGGATGTCGAATTCGATTAAATAAATTCTTGACGAATGGATGTATTTTTTGGACGCACTTTGTTCTCTAGGTGTCATTATTTTTCCCTGTATATTTTTTTTTAATAAGAATTTATTTACCGCTCCTTTAGGCGGAGGACTTCCGATGACTCCTCAGGAGGCCACAAAATACTACGGCCCGAGACTGACCGAATTCGAGCGAGCTGAAATCGAGAAGTACTCGGAAATTTGGTATTTAGGACTGGCTGCTTGCAAAATCCACGGCGAGGAAGGCTCCTCCCAGAATGGGGGCTACGACGACGACAATGGCAGTTACAACAAAGTCCTGCACGATCACATTTCCTACAGGTAGGAACGAAAATTGTGTAATTATTTGCCAACTCCCTCGGCCACCATTCGCTTTATCTTTCCACGTGAACATCGAAACGATAAGAAAGCTCCTAACGCCCGTGCGATTTAATTCTTCGGACTTTCTCATTAATGATGATTCCATTTTCCCTTTAGATACGAGATCCTGGAGGTCATTGGGAGAGGAAGTTTCGGCCAGGTGATCCGCGCATTGGACCACAAGACGGGGCAACACATTGCCATCAAGATCATCAGGTGCGTGTAAAGATGGTAGTGGTTAATTAGTGTGTAACTTTCGACAAGATGTGTCCGTGTGATTGGACTAATTCTCCCCAGGAACAAGAAGAGGTTCCACCACCAGGCTCTGATCGAGGTTAGGATTCTGGACCACCTCAGGAAGAAGGACCTGGAGGCTAACTCGTCGCACAATGTGATACACATGCTGGAGTACTTCTACTTCAGAAACCACCTGTGCATCAGCTTCGAGCTCATGAGGTAAACCGACCTACGGGATTTTCCTTTTTTTTTTTTTCATGTGCGGTCATGAATGTGGGATAACGAGTCGATGTTACAGCCTAAACCTGTACGAGCTGATCAAGAAGAACAACTACCAAGGATTCAGCCTGAGCCTGATCCGGCGATTCGCGAATTCCCTCATCAATTGTCTGAGACTGCTGCACCGGGAGAACATCATCCACTGTGATTTGAAGCCCGTGAGTGTTCTTGGCGAGATACTCTACCTGGAGGAGAACCGGGATGCCCCGAGTAGGTGTTCTAACTCTCCCCGTTTGTCCAGGAAAACGTGCTCCTGAAGCAGCGGGGCAGCAGCTCCATCAAGGTGATCGACTTCGGGTCCTCCTGCTACAGTCATCAGCGAGTCTATCCCTACATCCAGTCAAGGTTCTACAGGAGTCCGGAAGTGATCCTTGGACTTCCCTATGGGACGCCAATAGACATGTGGAGCTTGGGTTGCATCTTAGCTGAGCTCTACACCGGGTATCCTCTGTTCCCCGGCGAAAACGAAGTCGAACAGCTAGCCTGCGTCATGGAGGTCCTGGGCTTGCCTCCGGAACAGCTGATCAACCACGCATCCCGTCGCAGGCTCTTCTTCGGTAACAGAATCCTTTCTCATCCTGCCCCGAGGAGAAGAACGAATGATCAATGGTACCGAAGGGTGCCAGAGTAACATTTTCCCAATTCAAGGAATAATTCGCTTCACTCGAATTAACTCATGGAATCGGTCATTCATACACGTCGCGTCGACGTTGACGTCAATGGGGTAACGATCGAACTACTTTTGGACTTGCAGACTCAAAAGGGAACCCTCGCTGCGTGACCAACAGCAAGGGCAAAAAGAGGCGACCTGGTAGCAAGAATCTCACGATCGCTCTGCGGTGCAACGATACCCTATTCGTGGACTTTGTCAGCAGATGTCTCGAGTAAGAGCCCTTGCCAGTTATATCCCCTTTTTCCTCCCAGAAGCTGGAAGCAAGTGGGTATCCTTCCTCCTGTACACCCAGGATCCGAGCTAAGCTAGGATGCAAAGGAGTACATAGACTCATACGAGCTCATCCAATGGTACTTTCAGGTGGGACGCGAAGAAACGCATGACCCCTGACGAGGCGATGCGCCACGAGTGGCTGAACTCGTCGTCGTCCCTCCACCTGAGTTCGTCCTCGGCGATGACGTCCTCGGTGATGGGGAAGGCGATCTGCACGTCGATGGAGCCCCCGCAGCCTGCACACGCGCAGACGGTGACGGTGAACGCGCCAAGACAGCGGGCCACGACGATGGAGGACCCCCAGCAGCAGTACTCCCTCTTCAAGTCCTACCAGGGTTGGAAGGCCATCTCTAAAATCACGTGGCTCGACAACGTCGACGGAGGCGGCCTCGCGGTGAAGAGCAAGCTGAACGGAAGCGCGAGTAGCCACGCGTTGGCTAGCGGTGCCCAGCCTGCGGCCTCCAGGCACGCCTCCACCGGGGACATCGTGGCCAGCCTGGACCCTAACCTCGACGACTCGGGCACCTTCCTGCCGCCTATCTTGTGAAGCCGGGTCTGCGCCAGCCATTTCTAAGAGCTTTCGCGCCTCCTCGGGTCCCTGGCTCCCCTTCGACGACGGCAACGGAGTTGCGGAGGTGATTGACTCGGAGTGTCCAATAGCACCCCTGTGTTTTTATGGAGGGTGGAAGGAGGAAGGGGATGTCCGGTGCACCTCTACATCTTCATCAAGGATGCTGGACCTGATGTTCAGGGGATGTCTGAATCCAATTGTCCGATTAGCACCGATGTACCTTCATCGGAGATGAAAGAACGACCTAAAAGGGCGGACGCATGAGTTGGGAGTGTTCGATGGTGCCTATCAGACACCGCAATGCCTTCGTTAACGATGCAAGAACTATCTCGGCCGTCGCGAAGTCGATCACCAGGGTAAATTCTATGACTTCGAGTTCTCTGGAACGATCTGACATTCGAAGGACCAGCAGTGCTTCCCGTGAAATGGCCTGTCTGAAACCCAATCTCAATCAAGCCTAGGACTAACTATGAACTAGGAGGTCGATCAGACATCAAGCTCCAGCTGGGCTTCGCTCTCGGCGAAAATTACTCGCGCTAATTATTGGCAACAAAAAGAGAGTATCATCCAAGATGAAGGAGGACTCGAGGAGTTGGGATCCAAGGCCGAATGCAGAAGTCGACGACGATCCAAAGTCAAGCAGCTTTTCGAAAAGTCTGAAAACCTGGAAGAGTCTCCAGTGATGCCCAAAATCGGTCTCAGCTGTAGACTCAAGACTTGGTCTGTAAGCCGTGCAAGAGTAAGTCTGAAGCTGCAGGACCAATTTTGGTCACCACTGAACCTCTGCCGACTTCAAGACTTGAAGTTGAAGAGGTTGAATGGCTTGCTCTGGAGATGTGCAGCCGGAACGTTGACGTTCAGCAACTGGCCTCGACAATAATGGACAACGACGAGGGCACTCTGCAGGTGAAATTGGCAAGGCGCAACGGCACTAGGACCCTGAAGGACTGAAAACCACCCTGAAGGACCCGGAATGAGTCCAGGAAGGACTCAACTAGCAAAAGATGGAACTGGCTGGCGAAGGTAACAGTGTTGTAGCTGGTACGTGTCAGGACTGACGAGCAACTATTGTTGCGAGTTTAGGAACAAGGTCGACGAATGCGTAATTAGGTAAGGGAGGAATCGCGTTGATGAGACGATGTCCGATGACGTAGGGGTATTGGACACTTGGAAGACGACCATCGTGCGAGGTGGAAATTGAAGGCAGAAATCGAAGAGGGAAACGCGAAACCCTCAAGACTAGTACTGAACCGCGTCGGGATCTATTCGCTCCTTTCGATGCGGTCGTTAGTTGTTGATGGGAAAATGGGGTTTCTGGAGGTCTCCGATTTCGAATCGATCACCGAATCACGGCGTTTTAAGCTTGAGTCTGGGGTGGCAAATCGTGGCGACGATCATCGGATCGTCATCCTATCCGTTGGACCTGAGGATATCAATCACGGTACAGAAACAGTGTTCGTTCGCGACCATACTTAAAGGGATGTTGAAGTGCCATCTGAAGAGTCAGCTGTTCCTGAAACTTTTTTCTCCCATTCTCCCAATTGAATGCACCGAATCGTTTTAAATTTTACAACGCGAATGCAGAGTCTACGAGGAAGGTACTGACGCCCGTAAAATTTCATTTTTAACGAGGAATTAAAAAAAAAATATTTAAACAAATTTTTAAACGATTCTAATCTCATGGGTGTCGGGATCTTCCTTACAGGATCCACATTCACGTTGTGAAGTTTGAAGCGATTTGGTTCACTCAATTCGGAGATGGGTTTCGTAAACGAGACCTTTGACGCCACTTTAACATCCCCTTAACGTCCCGAAGGAACATTGTTCCTCGACATCCATGGCGTCTTTTGTAACGAAATAAGGGAGAAACTGAAAAATCGAGAGGAAGGTCCCGGGGGAAGGGAAGAGGGAGCCCCAGTTTTCGCGAGGCCTGAGTAGTCTTATTGTGATATTAAACTACCACTGTCTTACTTAGATCTCCAGTAATAAGAAGTAACGACTAATGATAATTTTCATTACTATTAATTATTATTTTTTTTCTTACTATATATTCATTATCGCTACCGCTCTATTGCTGTATATTACTGTTGCGTCAATACGGTTGTATTCGCTGCGTCGATTTGCACCAGCGCTTAAAGGGGTAATTCGAACTTTATAATAAGCGACTTAACGGGCGTTAAGTGTCTTCAATTACTTTCTCGTTGTTACATTTAAATATCTAAAGCGTCAGACGTGTAGGGCCGAGCTAGGGTTCAGCCTTAATTTAAACGGGAATTTCATCGTCGCCGTTGTGGGTCGTCTCCGTTTTCTCGGCGTTATCCGTCAACTCGTTAAGCGTCCTCGCGGTTGTTATCGCCCTCGCGTTATCACCGAATTATTACTGATTTAGGCCATTCACCTCGACACCCGTTCCTTTGGTGTCACCTTAAGGTCGGATTTTTTCCTAGATAACGGCGATGTCGCCCTATCCGTTAACACCCTGCCAAACCGAGATTCTGCCGTTAACAACTGCCGAGTCCATTTAATCGTTGTGTTCGGTGTGAGTACTTCTCCCTAAACGGGTCTTCTTGTCAGACCAAGAAAATCAAATCGGATGAACCTTTCTACTCCCCTCTCGTCCATCGTCTGAAAATCTAGACAGATCTACACTGAATGAAAACAAAGAAAAAAAAAACATTCATTTAACCAGAGAAATATTTTTTCGGTTCAATGAATGACTTTTTCTTTTCCTCGGGGTATCAGATTGCTGTGCAATTCCAGCTCTCGACCTTCCGCAATATTTGCGTTGACAATTGTCTCGTTTCTCCTCTCTTCGGGGTATTTTCTTACGCGAGGCTTGCGTACCGGTTGTAGCCTAGATTATGGAAATGATGTCGCGGGTTAAAAATTAATCTCCACCTGGGAAGTCCCATTTGCCGAAAGTGGGATAATCCTCCAATCTGCGAGATGACATCCCATTTTTCATTTAAATTTTCAATTGCGTCAAGGCGCAGCGCATTGTACAAGACTGAGAAGATGTCGATTAGGACATCGGGAAAAATGTTCCCAACGTGAGCCTCCTTCGCCGTAGAAAATATCGATTTTCCGGATTTTCCTGTATTTTTTTTAAAGTAAAAATCCCAGCCTCGCGGTCGATTATTTCAGGTGTTACGAAAGGGTCATTTCGATATGTACCTAAATGTCGAAATATTTCACGAAATACTACTCTTCTCCAAATGTATAGAATGACCCTTTAATAACCCTTTAATATCTCGTTAGATGAGGGAAACGCATCGTAGAAGAATTGTCGAGGCTTTCAATCGTGTCTTCAACGTTTTCTTCTCGCCCTCGATCCGATGTAATTGCAGCTTAATCAAATAATTGTACATTGACGAGCTTGAAATTCGCAATTCATAATCTGTAATCATAATTCGTCATTTTTAACCCTTAACGCGGCAATACTCGAGGACTAAGGGTGTGACATGAAATATGGACTTCTGCATGCTCTCGTTTACACGCGCAAATTATTTAGCACTTATACGTTATACACATATTAAATATTATACAGCGAAATCTAATTAGTATCTTTCTTACGAGATCCCGTTGACTCGTTTCGCTTAAATTAACATATCCTTTTTGCATCGCTATTGATGTCTACCGGGAGAGTCTTTTGACTTAGTTAATTCCCTAATCCATGCATGCCCAAGAAGGCGCTTAAGTGCAAATTCAAGTTTAATTTTATCCTCGACCCCGTCGAATTTTATCGCTGTAAAAAAATCGACGATCGTTGTAATAACCGAACGTTGGAAAAGCGAGAGAAAATCGGTTCACGGCGAGAAGGGAATGTCGAGATTAAAAAGCGAAGGAAAATCTCCGGTTTTAGTAAACGCGCCCGGGAAATAATTAGCGTAGAAATTAATCGTCAAAGCTGACGTTGCCGACGAATCCGGGAATTAAAATCGGGAGGATTTACCAGAGAAGGCCCTGTCGCTATGCAAATGCCGAAGTGATCGGAAATAGATAAAAGAAATGAGGAAAGAGAAAAGAGAGAGGAGGAAGGCCCTATCACGAAGTCACCCCGCTCGAGGACCCCGAAAGCGCCGTAAACGCAAATATTATCTATCGTAAAGCATTAAAGAAAGATAATGAAGCATTAATATTAAGGTATGCTCTGCGGGATTGATGTATGAAAATTCTGTTATAGGAAGAGAATGGATGCGCAACGATCGCGTAATTGACGATCCGCGAGACCGAGAGAGAACGGAGGTCGCGCAAGAGCAAGATTTTGTCTCGTGTGTAAACGATATAATTATTAACGAGACCTACGGTTAATAGTAAAGGAAATGCAGTTATACAGATAGGGCCACTTTGTAAGGTAATCGTAGCGTTAGTAATCCACTTTACGGTAAGGCGGACGATTGTACAGTTTTGCGTTTCTAGTTGGGTTCAATTATACGGCGGGAACAAATACTGTGTATACAGAGAGATCCAGTATATCCACGGATTACGTACACCTGCGTGTACAAGGCGAGTCATTCGACATCATTCGGTTTTTCCACGATCGATATAATTTTTTTTCCAACCTAACGAACCGCATACAGATTCCCAAGTGTGTATGTACTTGGCGCGGAACTCAGCCGAGTTCCATTTTGTGGTAATCTCTCTTTGTGTAGGGCGAAGAATCGTTCGCAGAATAGAAACCACGTGGATATCACTAGAAAGATGCTCTTGCAGAGCGATGAAAGAGGAACAATGTCTATTGACTCGCCCTGTACGTCTACATATTCGTTTACATACGTGAAAGTGTCCTGTATTTACGTGGGTGTAACGCGACTCGGTGGCGCCCTCTTGGAAAAAAAAGTTTCTTGTAACGAGCTGTAACGATTAAACGGCGTAAAGCATGTCTTAATGGTACGATCGATCGTTGAGAGAAAATTAAACGCCTAGTGGAGGGATGCTTGAGGTAAAGAGACGCAGCGTGTGATCTTGTCGGAGACGCAACCTCGCCTCTTGGGTCAGTCCTCTATCAAGGGGAAGTACTGATATAAAATATACAGATCAAAGTTCTGACTATTTTCTTCGATCAGGATTAACTCCCATGAAAAGGGAAAAGCGTTTTCCTCACAAGAAAAAAATTTTTCCTTTTTTTTTTTAGAAATTCTCACGAGGTCGCTTCCGAGCCGAGAGTGGAAAGTATAGTTAATAGCGCTAATCTAGGCAGTGTGTGTGTAAACTAATGGGAAAAAAATCGCGGTTAAAGGGCGAATCGACTAAAGGGAAAAGCCCTAACGATCCAAGTTTCATTGCCAAAATTCGCCCCTTTTTCCAGAAGACGAAGTTCTCTCTCTCTCTGCCTCTCCCTCTATCCCCAGAGTTAAGCTAGCATAGTAGGACAATCATCCGCGCTTTAGCGTCAATTTGTTAGTTAAGTTACGTAGTTAAGATAACCCTTTAGACGAATGAGGAAGCGCTAGTTAGGCGGAGGAAAGAGAAACGGAAAGGACACCACCGGAGTTCGGTGTTCATTGTGTCGGGCGAGACTCAAAAATTGAAAACAAATTTTGAGCATTCCCAAAATGGACCGAACTCGACGGCGTTTCTTTCCCTCTTGTTCTTCTTCGCGTCGGAGAGCATGTTTCGCCATCCGAAGTCGACGTCTTCTAGACGCGACTTTTCATCTAGCCTCCTTATCGCCGATGGCCGGTAGCACCGGTGATAAGGATATCGATATAATTGTATCTTGCGAGGAGCACGTTGACAGCTGTCAAAAGTCAGGATGTAGCGTCGTTTTCACTCGGAATGATCGGGATTACCGATCATCCTGATCGTGGTTCGATCGAGCGCAATAAATTCGTCCTCTCGCCTCCTGCAAACTGTCAATGATTAGACGCTAGATAAGGATCGAGGGATCCAGAGATTAACGAAGTGACCAATTTGTACTTTTTACCCCGAAACCCGAGGCATTTCTTCCGAGAGAAATATGTAATAAATCCCATACTTCTAATCTCTTCGATTAAGGGGGATCCTAATTGTTTGTCATATTTTTGAGATGAAGGATTTGTCCGAAATTTTCATTAGTATATTAACCAGAGATGAAGAAATTTAATCCGTTGCGTCTCTTCGTGTTTTCTTCTCAAATCTTCGACGAGCTTTTCGGAGTAATTCCGAAATATTGCATGAAATTAAGAAATAAAATTGTAAGCTCGAGTGGCAAAGTCCATTTTGAAACCCCCTTAATTTAAACGGATATGAAATTATTAAGGTCTGCCTCGAAGGTCCCTCTTTTGTCTAAACGTGCGTTGAGATCGCAAGGCCGAATAATCGAGGATTTAAGTGCAAGTTGCATATTGTGATTCGTAACTTAACATTTTAACTCCCCGGGAGAGGTTCACGAGGTGTGTAATCGCGAAGCCCGTGCATCCCGACTTAAGCATAACTACACACCAGCGGAGAATTGATAACGATAGTGTTAATGATAACGACTTAGCGTAATGATATCCGGTACCGATGCATCATCATCTTTTGTATCATTTGTTCGTTTGTTTTTATCTTACTGCGTTTGTCTTTCATTGTCGATGTAATATCAAGATGACTCGGATTTGACGATATCTTGTGTGTAAATATACCAATAAATGATACGGATATGACAACTGTGTTTTTTATACGCTGACCTAACCCATACCTTGGATAAATTTTCTATCGATGGAATTCATCGATGGGCTGATACAATATCGATATAATATCTATCGATGAGATCTGAGATTTCTGTCTTCGATCTCTCTCGAAGGTTCAGGGAGTTGTCTCGCAAGAGATAATTTGAGTAATTTATTTAACATAGCATTAAGTACAAGAGATTGACCTAGTTAAAGGAAACCTATTCGAAAGGTACAAAGAGATAGTCCTAGAGTCGTCTAACAAACGATAACACGTTATAAATAGAAAACGATTCAACACACAACCAAGCACTGTGCATCGATTTATTGTACGAGCTAAAAGTTTTGCCAGGGCGAGCGACACAAGACGTCTGTCTCCCCTGACGTGTCGACGAATCACAATTATTTCTTTTTAAGGAAAATTATATGCATCTCAGAGCATAACTTGTTACAAGATGCTTTGGGTTTGTGTATATGGCAACTTTGAATTGACGCCTTTCGAAACTGATCAGTTTCTGTCGCTGCTGGAGATCACTGCATGACAAGAATAAATAGACTTGTACGTATGTGTACTGACGAATTCCTATAAACTTATGTACACATGCTTAGGTATATATATATAAATATATATATATATGAATATGCGTTTATGCAAGCATAAGACAGTTTTCAATGATTTGGGCTTTTGAAGAAAGTTTGGCGGAGCTTTTGTTTCGATGCTACCTCCTTCGCTCGCCTTTCTGTGTCTTCCTCTTTTCCTTTTTCTCCTCTTTCAATTGTTTTTGCTTCTCTCTGCAAAGGAATATATATATCGATTATTTAAATATGATAAATTATAAAAGGTGAATCTATCGTCTTAATTTTTGCTGTCAGATTATAGCGTTAAATTCAATAACAAGAACGTACCGATCCTCTTTGTCTTTCTCTTTCTTCTTTTGACTCTCGAGTTTAGCTTTCTCTCGCCTCTCTTTTCCTTGTTGAATGATAGCTGCTGCGTTTGTGTTCTTCTCGATTCCACAATCTCCACCGCCAACTCCATCCTCCTCTCCTTCTCCCTCGCTTTCATCTTGATCCGGCATTTCACTGTACTGTGCGAGGATCGCTTCTCTTATTCGTCTCTCCTCCTCCGTGTAGCTCTTCTGCGTAGTCGTAGGAAAACTCTGCGATTCCAACATCCGAGCCAGCCGAACATCGACGTCTTCCGCAGGGGCTGTTGCTCCAGCGACATCATCTATGGGCAGCCACTTTGCCCAAGCTGCTAATATTTCTGCCACATGTTTACTTATATTATCCTCCTGAAATATTACAGTTTTTAATTCACCGTACATTAGTACAATCTGAAATATTCCTTGATTATTTCTATATTTAACGTAATTCTACATAATCCTGATTCTGTTCTATGTCTCATAACTAATATTGAATTAAGTACAAATTTCTATTAAAATTAACGTTTTTTCTTGAGAGGTTAAGCAACTGCTATTAAAGGTTAACGTGTATAAATAAGAGACAATAAGTTAACAAACATATCGTAGACACATTCTTTTTTCCCATTTATTTGGATTCCACTTAATGAACGCCGAATACATTCTAACCTCACATTCCAAACGGTCCTCACCGTTATGCCGGCGAGTATGCCTTCGAGAGCTTCGGTCTTTTCATCTTCGGATTCATCGCCCTCCAAAATTCCTTTGATATAAGACCCGAATACTCCTTCATCCGTCTTCAGTGCTCTTAACTTTGTGTTAAGCCAAGAGTCAAATGCACTAGTCGCAGCCGCCATGTTTTGCTATTTTCAATTTTCCGCCATCTCCGAATCACACATGATTATATGGTGTTTTATTTATCCCGCATAAAATGCAGTTTCCACGACACCGGTTGTAACTCACAGTAGAACGCTGATTCGCAGTACATCAATTTGTCCAAGATTCAAGCTAGTTCCTGATTATAGATAAAAAAGTGTTGTCAAATTATTAACTTTGAATTCCGGTAAAAAAGCAAGCGATAAAAAAGATATTTTATTTGCAAAACCAGCTCTGATACGAGAAAAGAAGAATTTCGTATAGAGTTCATGCCAATTTTAATTGTTTTTAATAAAGAAAAGAAGGGTTCTTTAATCGAGGTATTCTTGAAAGTGGAAGTTCGGATAAGTTTGTTGAAGATCCAAACGATGGCGCCACCGTCGCTCTCGAGGCGGAGTAATGTCGAAGTTGGCAAGAGGCCCTTCTCCAGTCACAGGAAGTGCGTGCCGACGTGAGGGTCTTCGTCTGCTCGTTCTTACGAGCTTTTCGGCAAAATGAACGTAATCACGAAGACCTCGAATATCGCGCCTTACTTAAAGGTGACAACGACAGTCGTTTCGAACGGTCTCCGACCTGTCGCGGGAACGGGTAAAGTGCAGCGGCCGAAAATCGAGGTTCCAGGATCCGTCGAGCGAATCGTCAGTCTGAACGAGGGTATTTTCCATGGACCGTTACGCGTGAGCGCAGGAATCACAGGTTTGTTGAAACAATCGAGGAAAACTATCCAAAAGGAACCACAGTTTTTTATCTTACTGCGTCGTTACGTTCGCGAAAATTTACGTCTCCAGATTATGTAACCTTTCTTTTTCGAGCTGCCAAGTGGACCTGTATATAGATCTCTGTGCTATCGACCGAGCTTCGTGAAGACAACAGAGAAATTAGTCATTATTGCATTCTTAGATAGTATTGTGTATCGATTTCTATATACAGTTATTTTTGTATAACAAGATTATAATTATTGTTACAGCGGGCTCCCAAATCCACCAGGTCCAGCCCGTTCGTCTGGCACATACCGATATCCAGGTGCCGGATTTTTCTGCATATCGTCAGAATTCGGTTCAAGATCCAACGGTTAGAAGTCGTGATTCCGATGACGAACGGAAATTGGTTTCTTATCTCGTTGCTACTGGTATGTATGTTTTGAATGACGATGTACGTAGCATTAAGGTGATTGAAAGTTGTATGGGCATAGTGAATAAAAATGTTAACAGGTGGATACGGAGGATCTGAGGACAGTCTTAATTCATATTATCTTAATGTAATTGAAACATTTGATATTAATAAAGCAACTGTCATTGTTTGTCTCAGGTGCTGGCATCCTTGCTGCATACAGTACAAAGACTATAGTCTATGATCTGGTATCTTCGATGAGTGCTTCGGGTGACGTCATGGCCATGGCGAAGATTGAGGTTAAACTGAGTAATATTCCCGAAGGAAAGAGTGCCGTTTTCAAATGGCGTGGAAAGCCTCTCTTCATTCGACACAGGTAATCATGAATTCTCGTAACCTCTCAGAGCGCTTGAGGACGTTTTTGTGTATTTATTTATATTCTTCTATTTTCACAGATCGGCCAGTGAAGTAGAAAGGGAACGTAGCGTCGACGTCGCAAGTCTTCGAGACGCGCAACACGATTCTGAGCGTGTAAAGCATCCTGATTGGCTAATCGTTATCGGCGTTTGCACACATCTGGGATGTGTTCCGATAGCTAATGCAGGAGAGTTCGGTGGATATTACTGTCCCTGCCATGGTTCACACTACGATGCCAGTGGGAGGATCAGGAAAGGACCGGCACCTCTCAATCTGGAAGTCCCACAGTACGAATTCGTCGACGATGTCGTCGTTGTTGGTTAACTACTATTTGTGCTAGGCCATCTGTAGCAAAGGATAATTCATCGTGTCAAGATGCATCCCTTGGTCTCAAAGACGAGAGACCGAGCATCGGCGTATAACTTTTCTATTTATTGAAAAAATTCCAAAACCGACGTGCTCCGGTGTGCGTGTTTTTTTTTATCTAGAAATTGAAAGCCCTTAAAAGCGGTGTAACGTATTTCCGTTATATCAAAAAGTTGTACAGACCATGAAATAAACATGAACTATAGGAATCATAAGTCATAGGTTTTAGTGAACGTAAGCAAATATTGCATTACTGCATACTTCAATGGCGGAGTACTTAAAAACTATATTCGCAGTAACTTTCTGATATATTTAATTTTAACGTTCATAAAACAGTGTTCAAGCGCTATGTACGCATTTACATATGTGCTGAAAGACGTTTATAACCTATCAGATGCCGTATATCGTACATCTACGGCATCTCCACATTGGAAACGTAATTTTCTTGTTTCCTACGATTTTCTGCGATAAATGTTACGATTCACGTAATGTACGTAAGAAAACCTCGAAAAAGGCGGATTCACCCAACCCTGGTGGTAGGGGGTTCGGGTCCACCATTTTCTTCGCGTGGTGGGGGGTTTCATAACAGCGACGCGAGTGGACGCGAGGCTGCGTGATCGGAGGCAGGATCTCCCCGCTTCCGCGAGGAGGCGCCAGTAATGGCCGGCGAAATTTTCGCTTCCGCAGCGCGACAGGGCCGCTCCCGGCCTCCTTGGCGTTTCCCGGCCCGTCTCGCGTCCAGTCTCCCGGCCTCCCTCGTCCTCGGCGCAATCTCGACCCCGGAGTGACGCGGGGCGAGAAAGTTCACGCGAGGAGACGCGGATCGAGTAACCGTAAGTAGAGGCGCGCACGACGAGAATTATCCACCCGGCGGGTGAGCACGTTTCCGACCCCTCCACCCCCGGGCCGGCGAGCTGACATAACCCCAACGTGACACGGACCGACACCCTGCGTCACGCCCGACATGTAACGGATCGTCGGCCGCGGGGTGAGATGTACACCTTATCTTTCTATCACATTTTATTTATTAACATTTCTCCCCGATTAATATCTATTTGCGAGCCTTGGCGAACTCCTTCGAGGGGGAATTGCGACTCGATATAAGGTGGCGTTTTAAATTCCCGGCGGCGCCGTGGCACGTAGAGGGGTGTCAGGGGGAGTATTATGAAAGTGTGAAAAATCTCCCCCGAGGTTTTACGTTTTAGCGGTTAAGAGGGAGAGGCTCATTTTGAAGTCGCTTTAACAGAGGGAATATTCTTTTCCTTGGTTGGATATGATTTTCGATACTCCAATACCGGCTGACATAACCCTAATGTGACCCGCAATGACCCCTGCGTCACACCCTCGGTGTAACGGATCGTCTGCTACAGGATGTACGCTTTTTATTCCCACTTACTCCTTAATTCATCCCTTTTTCCGAGGGTCGATCGACTAGTCAATGGCAAAATTATGATTAAACGCGAAATGCCGTTTAAACTCCCGCCACGGCATTTAGAGGGGTCGAAGGAAATGTGAAAATGTGAATATGTGGAAAATGTCGCGCGAGATTATACGTCTCGTACCTACTCAAGGGTTACAAAGGAGAGGTGTATTTAGTAACGGTCTTTTTAGAGAATATTTCCGCGGGGAGGGAACGTTTACCGAATGTTCCGTCATATTTTTTAATATTCCACCCCCGGCCGGCGACACTCGTGTCGGGCCGCCATAACCTCAATGTGACACGGGGTGACACCCCGCGTCACATTTATCGGGTGAGATATACCTTGTTTCTTTTTTTTTTTTTATTATTCCCATTCAACGAATTTATTCATTATTCGCTGTTACTTGTTTATTCCCTTTTTTTTGTTCTCTTTTCGGAGTATCAGTGGACACGTGGCGGCGTTTAAACGGAAGCCGCGATGGCGCCTTGATTCCTGTATCAGGGTTAATCAAGTAAAAAGATATTAATGGGGGAGGTTATAGTTTTAATTTCCTGTTAAAAGGTAGCGAATCGAAGGCTCTTGACTTTAGGTGTAATGGCTCCGATAGGGAGAGGATATATTTCTAAAACATGTTTTTCAATGTCACACCTTCAGGTCGACTTACATAACCTCAACGTGACACTTTGCGTAACCCCGCTCCATGTAACGATGTTTTCCCGGTCATGGGGGAAGATGTATTATTATTTTTTTTTTTTTTCAAATTCTTTCCTAACAATGACACGATTTATCCTTATTGTCATCGAGGTGTTATGAAAGTATCGCGTGTATGTATACGTATACACTGGGAAAGAAATATTTCTTCGGTTCAATGGCATTTTTATTTTCTCAGCGTGGAGTGGGAATATTTCATAACACCTTAAATTTGTTAATCGGTCTTGTAGCGCGACTCCGATATAGGGGAGGGTCGGTTTTAACGATGATTACCTATTTTTCCTCCAAAAATCTTGCGTAGGGCTGGTCGTCTCCGACTGTATCTCCTTGGAAGCTGGCGCAGAGGAGAGAGGGAGAGGATGACGGATTTGGACAAATTCCGCGTCGTCAACGAAATAAGCCCCACGAAGACGTATCATCTTCCTTTTAGTAAGTCCCGGAATTTCCCTTGGCTTTACGCGTTTAGGATAATTCGGTGCACCCAGTTTGGGGAAAAGTTTGGTAAATATGTCGATCTTTTTTGGGTACGCGTATAGACTTTTGTATCAACTCGAGCGTCAATTGGTCGGGAGTTTCAAGTTGGGCGAAACAACGTCTCAAATCGGGAGGCAGAGAAACTAGAGCCTGCAGAGGCGAATCGGCGTTACCCTCGGTGCTCCCCGCGATATATCCGGTTCTACTTAGGGGCGGGCGAAGCCGCTGCACGCGTGCACGCGAGTGCGCCGCGCGACGCGTGTGCGTGTCGGAAGGCGAGAGTGCGGAGCGGAGACGCGCGGACGGACCTCCGAGGCCGGGAATCAATAGATGCGCGTTGCATCTTACCCCTCCGCTCCCTTTTCGACCGCCCCTCTCCCCCCCCGGCCTGCCACCCTGCGCCGAAAATTTCAACCCCCGGCGGCCTAATAGATGACGTCCGCCTCTCACTCTCGGCGCGCACGTTGCCCAGAAGTCATCGATTTTGTCCGCCCACGGGACCCGGCCAGGAGAGTCTCCCACGGGCTGAGGAAAGAATCGGCCCGAATTGATAAACCAGGGTCTCAGGGATTCGATATATGAAATTTCGGGAGTCTCGTGATCACGCGGTAATGGTTCAAATTATTCGGTGCATTCGGTTTAGAGCGATGTTTTATTAATATTTTCATGTTTGGGGTGTATATTGAAAATCCAGGATTTGATGTATGATATATGATATATGTTTCTAATTATTCGGTGCATTCGGTTTGGAGCAATGTTTTATCAATATTTTGACCCTTTGGTGTGAATATGGATATGTCGATTTTGGGGATGAGGAACGTATAGGGTTCTTTTAGGGTATCGATATTATCGTGTTTCTTAAGTAAGCCGAGACTCTGTCAGAATCACGTGGAGGTATCTCGGGTTTCGCTAATCGGTATATTTTCCACTTGATCAAACGTGGACGCGCGAGATGCCGCAACCCGGTGCACGGCGGTGCATGCGATGCAACCTCCACTGTCGGGCAACAGGTGCACCGTCAAGGTGTTACGAAAGGGTTATTCCGTATGAATCAAACCGTGAAAATATTGATAAAACTGTTATCAAAACTGGGGGGGCAGGAAATAATTTTAATCCTCGCCACGTGGTTACGGAGGCCCTAAGGAAGAACGTGGGGCATATAATTTTTCATAGAAAAAAAAAAAAGCGTATTCTTGATTCCAGTCCGAAGTTTCCACCCAGTTTGGAGGAGAGTTTTATAAATAATATTTTAACGCTTTATACATATATATGGAATGACCCTCTTATATCACCTTGATCACTCGAAGCCTCATTTGGACGTATAACTTTTGCTCAAAGGGCATGGTTCCAATTTAGACATTTCCCATTTCGAAAGGGGCGAATTTCAACAATGTCGCCCACCGGCGGGGGTCGCGACTCGGGCTGGTGGAGCTTCTCCGCGTTTCGATCGGGGGTGGTCCCAGGGTGGCCGAAGTCGTGGGGGCGAAAAGGGCGAAAAAGGCGAAGAAGGCGAGGTCGACGGGCGGGAACAGGTGAGCCCATTTCCACAGGTGAGGCGCGAGGTGGTCGGCGGTTCCCCCGGGAGGGGGCGGGCTAATGATTAATTCCTCCGAGGTCGGGGGCTGTTGCCGGGTGCAGGTTGTGCCTCGTCCAACCTTCGCCGCCCCCGGCCAGGACTGCCGAATATTCGCCCCTCCACCGCACGCACGAGGAGGGGGTCGGGGGTTGCCAGGGGGTTGCAAGGTTGTTCTCCCCTCCAAGGGCGCAACCCCAGGGGCGCATCGTCGCGGCGCGACCCCCCGATGGCTTTCACCGAGAAGGGGGATTTCTTTACTCTTAAGGGGATGCGAAAGTGCCGCCGAGGAGGTCTCATTTACGAGACGTTTCTCCTAACCGGGTGCAACCGAATCGTTGCGAACTTTACAGGGTGAACGTGGAGGCTATGAGAAAAATCCCGACACCGATGAAATTTCAATTTTTCACAAATTCTTTTATAGACATTTTTATGAAAGAAATGAAATTTCACGGGGGTCGGGACCTTCTTTACGGCCTTTTCATTTGTATTGTAATGTCTGAAACGATTCGGTATACCCAGGTCGCAGAAAAGCTTCACGGATGCCACTCTCACGTCCCCTTAACCCGTCCCAAGTGTGTCTCGTCCAGGTAAATCCTAATATTTTAATCTCGAGGGGGGGTACATCTCGGGAGGAGCCGTAAGTCACTACGATTGGTCGAGACGTGGCGGCTGTTCGATCCGAAAAACTTGGACGGCGATAAATCACGGACGGATATATGCGCTCTTGTGTCCGGCGACGTCGTTTGAATGCACCGGTAACGAGTCGGGCCGGTCGGCATTTTTTTTTTTTTCCTTTTTTCCTCTCTCGGGGTTGGTGCTAGACAAGTATATCGCCGTGAATAGAACTCCCGTTGGGAGGTAATCTCATTTTTATCGTCGATATAACGAAATCGTCGGGCGGCCATTTTTTAGGCGTTGGGCGTATAGTCGCGCAAAGTGGAATTCCTTTTTACGGCCGTGAATTCCTCTTGGAATGCAACATGTCGCGCTCGCACGTGGAGGGGAGGGGGAAAGAGAAGACGCTGTATGCAAAGCTGCTCAAGTGGCATTGAAAAAGCACCCCAAGGGGCACTCGAGGGAGGGAGAGAGAGGGAGAGTTCGCACTCGGCGTTCGTTATGCATCGCGACCGGTTCCTTTGGCCGCCGTTTCCTTTTGTGTCCCCGCGTAATTGTTCGGCTACTCCCTTGGCGATGCGTATCGGGCATTAAATGTCGGTCAGGCCGGTTCGCATTCCGGATCCTCCGCAAGGGAAATTGTCACAGCCGGCAACTTCGGGCCTCGGACAAGTGCCGCCACTCCGGCTCGAATTAAGGCGAAGCGAACCACGCGGATAGGTCTCATAGAGGTCGGTAAAAGAGATCCTTACGGATACCTACGTTGCCGACCTTCGTATTAACATCCCGAGCCGTCGAATCGTACCGGGCAATCGATCAAATGGGACACTCTATATGGCATTTTCTTCCTTTTTGATGCCACGAGGGCCGCCGCGCGCCATCTGGGATTTCAGTGCGAACTAAATCCCCTCTCCGGGAGGTCTTCTCGTGAATAGAGAAGATGGAAAGTATTAGAAAATTCGGCGCACCCTCTGCCTCCTCTCCGGGGGGGGGAAAAGGGACCAGGAGCCGGCCCTGGCCCTCCTCCTCTCCTCCCGGACCACCCCCGCGACCCTCGGCACTTTCCGGCGCTGCGACTCTGCGTAGGAAAAGACTCCTGTAGGGGAGGGGAGGGTGCGCGCCGCGGGAGGGGCGGCGAGATAACCTTGCAATCCCCTTGCGTGCGTAGGAGGAAGGGGAAGTGACGGGGAATCCCGGGAGGGGCGCGCGCGGCGCGGGGACGCGGGGACGCGGGAAGGCGGGGGTGCAGTCACGGGGTGGCAGTGACGGGCGTGACGTAGCCGGAGGAGGATGTACGCCCCTGTCGGCGGCGCCAGCAGCCAACCACCCCTGGTCAACCCATGGTGGCTTCATCCACCAGGTACAAGGATTAACCTCGGTGCGCGAGAATTTACCCAGCCGGCGGGGAGGGGGAGAATTGCGCTTCTTATTCGGGGACCTCGCGAGTGCCCCGAAAATAGAGGGGGGGTCGGATTCGGATTTTCCCGCGAGGTGAGGTGACGATTTTCTCCTGTTTTCCCGATCTCACCCCCGGGGGTGTATCGAGGAAAGTGAAAATTGGTGATTTTCGGAGGTACCCTCGTGATCCCTGAGGATCTCGGAATTTTTTAGGGATTTTTGGGAATCCTCTTTTGTGGCGGGCGAGAGGACGATCACGGGGTAACTCGGGGGTGGCCGAATTGGGGAACCAGATTTTCCCTCGTCGCGGAGGGAGGATTGTCTCCTTTTCCTGTGCACGCGGGGGTGGATTGAATTTTTGAAATCGGATAATTTCATTAGAATTTTCTTTTCCATTGGACACTTCGGCGGAAAGTATGAAAAGGAGTGAAAAAAAAAAAAGCGCGAATGACCAAAGTGGGTAACCGCGCGTAAGGGAGATTTTCATTTCAATTTCCCTTTCGTTGGGCAAGGATGCGAGGGATTTGAAGAACGGCGAAATGGCGTCAAAGGCCGAATCCGAATCGCTACGTGTACCCGGTGATTCGGTTTTCGAAAGTGCCGACACCCTTCTCTTTTTTCTCTCTTTTTCCCCGTCCGTCGGGCTTTCTCTCTGCACCACGCGTTGCAGGCGTGCAGCGTTGACGTATGCAGCCGACGTGCGTGGAAGGTAGCGGTACTTTTTCGAAAGTAACGTCCATTGCGCGAGTGCCCAACCGTGAACTCGATTCCCGTGTCCACCTTCACCTCCTCCTCTCTCGGGACAACCTTGCTGGGCCCTACGCCGTCCTTGCGCATGTCGGAAAAATAAGAGAAAAATCCTTAACTAGCGCCCTTTCCTTTTCGAGGAACAAGTTACTAATTATCTCCTACTAACGACTCGCATCCTTGCAATCGATTAAATTTGACGGTGAAGAAATTCAACGTGCGCTTTAAGAGCGCATCGGTAACGCTGCCGGTCTTTTAGTACCTTGCGGTAGCAGTGTAATCGCCCTTTAGTAACGCGTCGGTAGGGTTCTACCGGCGTTTTAATATTTAGGAATAGCGCTCAAGCATTGCCCTAGTACCTCGCAATGGCGATTCGTTAGCGCTCCGGTGCCTCGCGGGAGCGCTCCACCTGCGCGGCAGGAGCGCGCGCCGCTGACTGGCGCTCGCTACCGGCAGCGCCGCCTATAAGTACTCCCGGTACCAGAGCTCCTGCTCGGTTGCCACTACCACCGGCGTACTCTCGCCGCGCTCGCCGCGCTCGCCGCGCTCGCCGCCGAAAAGTTAGGGAACTAGGGCGAGCGCGGCGGCCGGCCTAGGGTCTAGGGAGATCGCGCCTCGC